GGCCAAAGGTGATGTTATTTCATTCACAGGGCAGCTGATGGGTTGAAGTGTTGAGCCCGAGTGGCCCCAGCTCTGTGCATGGCTGTAGCAGACTGTACCTCACTGTACCTCAGCCTGAGGGGGAGCAGTGAGCGTGTGGAGGAGACATTTTGGCCTGCTGATCTCCTTACACTCAGATTAGGCACACTGAGGTGACGCCAAAGGTTGGTCTCAGTAACCCTATCACCCAACCATTGTGCTGGACACAATACGAGCTGCTAAACGCTGAACCAGAGCCACAATTGCTGCTCCTGCCTTTACCACAGCTCTTGTTTATATCAAGGCAATTATAGGAGTGGGTGACATTGCAAAAATCTTATACCACAATACTTAAGTAATAACTTTATGATACACAATATCTATTACAAAATTAAGGAGGTTTTATAAGTTAATACAGACAAAAAGCAGCATTTCACATACTATGCATTACTAAATCCAGTTAAGCAGGGCTAATAATTCTCTCTTTGCAGTGAAACATGCAGATATGTACTAAGAATATTCATGATAATTTATAACAGTAATGATAAATATCATTATACTGCCCACACTTAGGCAGGTCCAGGTCATCAAATTATCAGCCCCTGGGCACAAATGTTTTATAGGCCCTTACCTGGCTGCTTTTTTGTGTGGTCAGGGAGTTTTTTATATCACAGTAGGTTACATGAGGGCTATACCGCACCACAATGGTAGTATACAAACTGCATGATGTTGAGCATGTCACTGCTATGAATATGTATTTTTTTCCAGTTGAAAAAAAAAACAATAGTAAGATTACACACACACTGACAAAACCACAGGATAACATTAGCTCAGCAATCAATGCAACACTTCCATATAAAGCATGCATCTGCGCTTCACAAGCAGAACATTCACTCTATTGCAGACGAGTTCAAATTGGACAGCTAAAATGAACATAATAAAGACAAAAGATAAAGCAGCAAACTTTACAACCCAAACTGTCAAGCATGCTAGCTAAAGCGTACTGCTGCAGCCGGCATGGATTCAGTTTTTTTCCGTATATGTCTTATCACATATCACTGCCAACAAGGGCGCAGTGACTTTTTCTTTAACTTGGGCTGACATTTTTGATGTGAGTTTGGAAATGGTTGTGCTCTACTCTGTCGAAGTATCGAGGGTTGCTTTTACATATCCCGCGGGCACGTTTGTAATATCTGGAGCTTCAAATTCAAAGTATTCAAAGGAACATTAGTTTACTGTTAAAAACCTGAAAGCTTGATAGATGTATTGGCAGACAGTTGAATGGTTGCTTAGCAGTGATTAAAATTAAGCAGACATTCAGGAAAGGCATGAAGAGCATCAGGATTCTGATCAAGTGTAACACAATGACAAATTTGGTTTATTTTTTCCTCACTGTACTGGTAGTAAAGTGTCCACCTGAGTTAAAACAGCTGTTTAAATTTTCTCATAATTGCTTGTGATGGCCCCTTGGTGGCTTGAGCCCCTGGGCACGCACCCATGAAACCCATGGAATGATCTGGGCCTTGAGGTGCCCTTTGCGGCAGGATATTTTTGGAAGCTGGAGCATGGTGACACAGCATCTCCATCAGACACTGTAAAGCTGCAGGTACACATTTTTATCTTGCTATTTTTTTGGCTAGGATGAAGCAAAACTGGAGCTGATCCTGTTGTGGTATGATTTTAGAGGGAGCGTATAGTTTAGCTAACAGCCTAGCGATGTCATTTTTTTTTCTTTTTTTTCTTTTTACAGATGTGAGTTACAAGCAATTATGTTAATCAGGGAATTCTTATTTTTTCAGGAAGATGACATTACAGCTCGCCATCTTGTCTTTTATGGGCACATGCTTCCAAGGTTCAAAATTTGTGTGTAATTAAATGGTTAAGATGTAAACAGCATCATTCAGAATGGTTTAAAGTAAAATGCTCTGTTCTAGAGAACTCAGAATTATTATCAGTGATGGTGATAGGAACGAAACATCTGAGGCATGTAATGCCTTTAAAAGTTACATCATAGAAGACTATTACATGAAATGATTATGAATACATTCCTTGTTTCATGACAGCTTTGAGCAAATATTTGCCCTGAAATGTACTTTTGTAGAACAATTCATGGTGGAGAGACACATACAGGGCTTTGTAAGGCACATTTCAAAATTACCAATACCTACATTACATATGGAAACCTGTTTTGCTCACTGTTCATTTTGGATGGCACATTAAATGGCTATATTTACGTTGTAGACAGCTGGTTACTATCACAACTGCTGTAAAGAAATCTGAAAACATTTCTCTACAGTGAACCATTTCGCATCAAACCACTTGGAATGACTGTTTAAATCTCAACAATTGAATTAAGCAGAAATGTTGGTGGAATTTTTCTTTAAAGTTCCCCTAGATGAACTTCAGAGTGAAGCATTCCTGTGTCCTTCTCCATTCAATTGAAATGGCTATTTTGCCAGGAAACTTTTATTCACGTTCTGCCTGACCGTGGCTTAACAATAGTCAGTGGAAATAAGTCAATTTTTTTTTTGATTTAGTTCTTGCAACTTTTAGCTTAAATATGATGCACCATGTGTGAAGATCAGAAACAAAGAAATAAATAAAATATGAGGAGATGAGAAAGAGACACTAAATGAGTGCAAGATTAGGCCGTGCATAAAGCACTCGTAACCTTGTAACCTGAAGAAACCCCTCACTGCTTTGACATCAGGCCCTCTAAAACAGGCCCTGACTCTAGGCCAGTGGAGAAAGCCTCAGCGTAATAGCTACTGAAGCCTGTCAAAACACTGCACAGGTTTTTTATGCCCTTGATCCTCACTGTTTTTTTTCCTCAGCTGATTTATTTGATTTTCTCTGTTTAGATCTCCAACCACAAAACAATTGCAAGGTTTATTGGCTTTGAAAAAATCCCTCCATTCTTGTTTTTGCCATAAGGTAGAAATACAATCTTTTAGTTTGCTCAGCTGGTGATGGGCCAAATGTGAAAAAAAAACCTGCTCCGCTCTCCTACACCTGCTTGGGTCCAAGTTCTTTTGAAAGGGCAAAGCAGCAGCGGTGTTGCCGCATGATCAAAGCACACCTGATGAGGCTGAAGACACATTCAGTCTTTCTGGCTGACTTTCTTGTACTTTCAGTCTCTGTCTCCATCTCAAATCAAACAAAGGCGGTTGCTTCTCCTTCCCACCTTTCTCCTCGTCTTTCTCCTTATCTTTTCCTATCCAGTTCTCCAGGGAATGGGCAGAGAGACACCTCAGCCAGGGCATATCCTCTTGGCTGGCTCTGGCTGAGAGAAAGTGAGCCCACTCGAGCTTGAAATGGGAGCTGGGCCCAGTGGTCCTCTGACCTGGTTGTATTGTTCTCGGTAGCTTCAAAGTGCCCCTTTGAGGCGTGACCTCAAATGAAGCTGTGAGTTTCTCTTTAACTGTGACTCATACATCTTACTCACTGTAGGAAAGAGAGAGAGTGAGAAGAATTGTAGCGTTAATGTAAGTACTGTTGCCTTCCTGTACTGAAGGTCATGGCGAGCATGGGCTAAACTGGCCTCTTCTGTTTGTTTGAATGAGTTCATTTATGTGTCCGCGTATGTTTTGGAATGGTTAATAGAATAAAAAAAAAATCTAATTTAAAACAATGTTTCCTTTCTTCAAATATAGTTGATTGGCTAAGACATATTTTATCTCTAAAGTTTGCTTCTTTAGGTTTTCAATGGTACTACGAGGCTAATATAATAGAAGCTACATTACATTTAGCTACATTAGCATTGTAGCTCCAGTGAAAAACTATGGACTGAAGAACATACCTAATGCCTGGCCCACATTAGATGATCATAACTGTTGATAAGGTAAGAGACCAAACACATGCAAATATTTGAAAACAGGTCAAATGCCATTTTTTTCATTTTCTAAGTGAAAATAAGTTAACATGTCCTTTACAAACAAACTTGAATATGAGATTTCTCAGCAAACGTTTATTGCAAAATATGTTTGTTTGCTGAGTTTAACATATTGGGAAAAAAAAACAAATAATACAGTATAAAAAGTGTTGCAACTTCTGCTCAGTCTGTGCTTACATTCAGCAAATAACAGTACATTAAAATGTGTAGAAGTGTGTTCTCAGCAGAGGATGTGTTCACTTATTTTCACTTGGAAAATCAAAAAAGGGGTGCACAAACCTTTTCACACGACTGTAATCAGAGGTCCTGTTTCTCAGAACCTGAGATCTTGCAAAGTTTCTCATGGGCAAATGTGACTTTAGATCAAAACGAACATGGCAGACAATGGCAATGCATAGATTAATGTGCAATGTTTGTGTGAATTTGACTGCATTCTTGTGAAAAAAGTATATTTTATTTATTTATTTTTGCATAAATAATAATAATAATAATTATAATAATAATAATATTTTTTTATATAGCACTTTTCATGTCGATGGCAGCTCAAATGTGACTTTTAACCTTCCATTCAGCTTGATTTTCTGTTTAGGTCAGCTCTCATTGGTTAACAATCTTTCATGCAAATGTCAGCACAGCACCACACTACAGGATGTTGAGTTGTTTTAAAATTGGGTCGATCACGACTGGACTGTGAGTACATTGGATGGGTAAAGACTGGATTTTAAAGACCCCACACCATAGGATAATCTGGGAAAACAACTGTTTAAGGCCTTTCTGAAATCAGACACTTTATGCGATTGCTATGAGGGGCGAATCGGCCTCAAAATTGGCCCGATTATCCTTTGCCTCTGCCATTATACAGCGTAACAATACACCAGCTGAGCAGAGTTGCTGTGATCCCCCTTTTAATCATTAACCGCCTGCTCCCTGCATTTGGTTGGGCCCTTTGGTCATGCCCTGCAGTGCCAGGCTCTGGTTTCATTAATTATTGACGACTCCTTGGCCTTCATGCTAGGGTCTGTGACCCTGAGGCTTGATCACATAGTAGGCCTCGAATCTCCTCTTTCTCCACCTTTAATAGCTGCTGATCCGGAGTCTTACAAAGTAAACATGGACATTTAGTTCTAGCTAGAACGACCTGGCTGACTTTCCACAAGTTTGGTAAAAGCAACTCAGTGAACAGTGAGAGACCAGGCTGAACTGGTTCAGTTCTCCCTCAGACTATGTAGGAAACATTAGATGAGCTAGTAGATCAGGCTCCACAGGTTGTGGCGATCACAGCCAAAGAAAACTGGACTGAGTAAAGGTTCTAGTGCAGCAGCAGGAGAGATGATTTTCCACCGAGCTGTATTTCTCCGCGTTGTATTTCTGAATTTCTGACATCTGTGAGCACAGCCGTCCAAATGCGTCATGGACTCAGTAGGTGTAGATGGCAAGCATCTGTTAAGCTTATCCATGTCCTCTGGGATGTTGACACCGCAATTTAGAGTGGAGGTATTCAGAGCTATGGCTTACTTGATTGAAACTATTAAAGTTGCCTTTGCAGACACATGCGTCACAACATAGTTTTTCTCTCTAGACTTTCTCTGGCGATTCTTTAGGCTGTCGACAACACGAGAAGGGCTATCAACTGGAGTTTCCCAGCACACGTCCACCTCAGAATTGTTATAATGGCAGCTTCTGAAACATTCTCCTCACCTCCATCGCCGTGGTGTCCATGCAGGAGCACACAGTGGCTATGCTAGGGACTGCAGATGGAAGGGTCATCCAGGTAAGAACTTCAGGACAGTAAAAAAATGATATAATCATTTTTTTTCTTTACCTTGCCATCATAGAGTAGATTGCAATCGAACTACAAATGTAAAGCTAATACTGTTTTTAGTTATGCAATGTACTTTTATTGATTTTTCTAGATAACAGTATGTCATATGGTGTCAGAAACCACATAAGCAAGTCTATTTGAGATGACTAGTCTATTTGATTTAAATAGGTGGCTGAAAGATTCCATTACTTGTTAACATTAGCCTTGTAGCCATGTTTCAACCAATCAAATACATTTTGGGTAGGAGGTGAAAATTGTGTAAACATGAACCATCACTTTAAGAATAGGTTCTCCAGCTACTTAGACACAGAACACTTGTACAGTTATTACTGCTAGTTAGGTTTCTTCACATAAGTTGTAGCTGTAGAATCAACATTATATAGTACAAGATACATCTTATTCCTTGAAGGCAACCTCCAAAAGTTCAAATTGAACGTTTTTTAACTTATTAGTTCATCTCCCTGGTCAAATTAAGCACAGTTCATCATATCATTCCATTTAAAAAACAAAACTCCATTATCTTCCATCAAAATGTACTGACTTTTACCTGCCTTTAAAATGTCTGGTGAGTTTTGATTATGTCACAGTGCGCCAGCAGATGAGAAAAGTAATATTAACTAATAATATTGCACTGGCCAGCAGCATTTCCCTGCGTTATTTTACATGTGCAGTAGATTGGTAGGATGCTGGTACGTGACCAGTGAAAATGGCCGGAAGAATGAATGTACAGGTGCGAGGACTATTTTGGAGAACACGGCCTTTTCCTGTTTGCACCGCAGTCACCTCTGACCTGCTGCAGCGCTTTACCAGAAACTCCAGCTCATCACACATCTGTTCAAACATACCTGCTTGCTTATCAGTGTTAATTGTGAGAGTGTGGTTCCCGTACATGTATTTTATTGTCAGTTTGAGCTATATCTGTTGTCGCTCTTATGCGAAAATGCACACAAATTTTCACACACTCACAAAATCTGTATTAGCGTAAGATGCCATATTTGCTCAATTATTTGATAAAGAATTATTTAATGTAGAAATTGAAATGCACTATGATTCAGCACTGTGAGCTTCTCTGGATTAATAGATTATTAATACTGCAGATAAACCTGTTGCACTGCTGTAGTTCAATCAGCGAGTTTTATACTAGCTGCAAATGTCATCTGTAGTTATGTGCAGGAAAGTCATGTGCAGGATGACTGAACTGTTATTCTCAGCAATTGCTACAATTTGTTGTAATATTGATTAAATGTCAAGGAGGTGAAGTAATGCTGGGACTGCTTGATTTATCTATACTTAATTGTTTTGTCCCAATTTATTGATTTTTGAAAAGTCATCAGAGCCCTAAATAGCCTAGCAAGAGGGGAAAGAGATATATAAACAAGCAAGGCTAATATATCAGTAGTTTTGTGTAAATCCTTGAACCCCTATAGATGAGTGGAGAGAGTATCTCAGAAGAAAATTACGTTTTTCTCTCTCCTTTCCCTGTCAGTATGAGAGACTGAACACCTGTCCTGGTGTTTGTGAGCAGTACTTCCTTTACAAGCACAGTATGCTGTAATTTCCCCAAATTGCACAGCATCCTTCCCACAATAACTACTAATTTATGGCCATTTTCTGGTTTTGCTAGACTTGATTGTACAGGGTGTCCCAAAAAAATTTACATAATTTTGTTGTCTAATAACGTAGTCAGTTCTCCCTCAAATGATCTCAAATTTTAACAAAGTGTGTTAAAACTAAACAAGTTTACTTTTTAATGTTTTTTTTCAGGTTGAAGAATGGCGTTCACTAGAAATGAAAAGGCATTTTGTGTGTTAGAATATGCTCCAACACAGGCAAACAAGAGTGTGCAGCGTGCATTTTCAAGACAATTCAATAAAAATGCACAAACTGGAAAGCAGATTTGGACATGGCACAAAAAATTCAAAGAGGAAGGCTGTCTGTGCAGGGCAAAGGGGTCTGGACGACCACCAATATCGGAAGATATTACATTTGTGAAGCTTTGTGAAATCGGTTATAAAATCTACATCCCTCTGAATTTCTTGTTCGAATTTTGATAAATAAATCTTGCATTGTTTAACATGAGACCTATTTAATTTCATTTGCCTACGACATGTAGTTACTCAGATACTTACATCTCAAATGATGTCAATTTTTTTGGGACACCCTGTACAAGGCTCTATTGCTCTTGCCTTTTATTACTACTGGAAAGTCCCCCTTTTACTTGCCAGATCCATATGTTCTTTCTTTATAGCAAATCACATTTGACAGTGGCCAGATTGAGGCTTCAGTTTGTCTCTGAGAGCTGCTTTGTTGATTTTGTAAGGCCTTAGTGCTTTCTGTAGACTGTACTGCATCTGTGAAAGACATATGTATGGTAAAGGAATGCTTGCATGTCCTATAAGAGACTCTGTGGAGACTTAGACAAGCCAATAATGGATGTCTCTGTTGTAGAACACACTGTACAGACTCTAACAATGACTGCTTTGCACAATGGGGATGCACAATAATGTCAGACTCACTACGTAACAGCAAATAATTGTTTTCTTTAAAAAGGTGTGCACCAGACAAATTTGACCAGGCCTGTGCCCAGTGACAGTTAACCCAGTAATCGGTAATTGTGCCCAGTGACAGGAAAACCACAGCAAGACGCTAGTACTCCCAGGCATAAACATAACTGAACTTTTAAAAATGTTGGGTGATGTGATGTTCTACTTTAAAACCGTGTTTATAAGGTAAGGTTACATGTGCTCAGTGCAGCAAACAGATGTCATGCATGTACAAAAAGTTGCTTATATTAAGGTATGCATTTTAGGACATCCACAGACCACAGCATCAAATTTCATCAGAAAAAAACTTCATTTCTGTGGAAAAACTTGTATAAAATGACATTTCGGTCTTTTCAAATAGCCTTAGCTTTGGAGAAAGAGGTATCAGGCTAAACGGCCACAAACTCTCAGTGGTGAAGTTTGTGTAACATTCGCAATTCTGCAATTCAGTATTCAGCCACAACTTTTTCCCAATTTTGCTTTTATTTGACAAAGACTGAACTTGGACTCACACTATCACTGTGCTTGCTCCTGTGTCCTTCACTTCACTGTGCCACTTCAGTGTAAGGGGAAAAGGTGTAGGAAATGTTTTAAGCCAAAACCTTCAAAGAATTCACATCTCTCCACAAAGACAGCTGTGTTGAGATAAAATGAACAGCACAACTTCATAGCGAATAATGATGTACAACTACTATTTTCATAAATGTTGACTTGCTTGCTTGTCTACTAAGACAAGAATCCAGTTAGTTTTTAGTTTTGTAAATCATTCACATTATCATCTAGACTTATTCCATCAATCAACTGAGAGACCTTCAAAAACGGCTACTGTTGCATTTTATAGTTACTGTGAAAGAGGTAAAGCACGGATCCTGTTATTGTTAATGGAGCACATGCTCTAATACTCTATTCAGACTTGGTCAGATGATAAATGTTAGTCCAGGTGTGTGGAGACAGAGCCAGTGTTCCAACACCTCTCAACATGCCACATCAGCAGCAGTCTTTGCGTCTTCTCTTGCCTGAAGCTATGACTTTTGTCTGCTCCCACTCCCTGCCATCAGCCGCCGTCATCATGCTTCAATTTGTCATCTTCTACTGAAAGAAGCAAAACAGCAGTTATTACAGGATCCATAGCAAACAGAGCCTGTCCCTTTACAGCGATTGCCTCTGGATTCCTCTGCCCTTTGATTCGGATTCTCTCCTGAGGAAAGTTCCAGGGCACGATCTGTAATTTAACAGTTTATGACCTATTACCCAAAAAAACTATGAATAACATGGATTTCTGATCCAGCCTTGCCTACACTGAGTACTTATTTTAGACCAAAAACCAAAAATACAGAATTATAGACTGTCTTAGCCTTAGATTTGGGCAATGTTTAATAGCTGAAAATGAGAAAATAGTCTGTCAGCCTTTCCGTTAGAAGATGGTCAAAGCAAAGCATGTTATTATGTACAGTCATTTACATCACTGTTCCCTGTAAACATAATCAGCAAGGAAATTTTACCATCCGTTTTACCATCATAGCTCTGACTCAGAATGCAGCCTTTTACAGTACACAGTGAATATGCTTTATTAAATTTGTCTATCCACAACAAAAGGATTGGATGTGAGAGGTCACTCCTGTTGTTTTTCTTGCTATGCAGGTGGTGGTTTCTCGTTTCCCGTTTGACAACACAGAGCTGCATGTGGACTTCCTCTTGGACAGTCTCCACGTGTCCTCAGAGGTGGCCCTGCTGTCTCCACAGTGACCAGATGCCGCCGTACTGCTGGTCACAGGAAACAAGGTAAAAAACTTATCAGTGTAGTACTTCATTCAGAGAGCTGATATAATCTGTGTATGTGAGAGACACATTGCTTGCTTGACCTACTGAGGCCAGATCCTCTGAAATATGGTCATATTTAATAATATATCAATATGCACAATGTAACTTGTAATCAAAATGGACATTCTGAGTTGAAACTGTTTAATTCAGAGGGAAAATCCAGTTACCTACAAAATGCTCTATATATGAAATAACACTGACTGATTCTTTCTGTCTTGCAGGTGTCTAAAGTGCCTGTGATTGGTCCAGGCTGTGAGCAGTTGTGGAACTGCAGCTCGTGTCTCCTGGCTCCGTCTTTCATGGGCTGCGGGTGGTGCAGGAACAGAAACCTCTGCACTCGGTCAGCTCAGTGTGAGACTTCCCTTTGGAGCCATGACTCCTGTCCCATTCCCCTCACTGAGGTATCCGCCCTGCCCAACCACAAACCTTATTGCCATGGTTACTGAGCAGACAATAGCATCAAGCTAATAGCATCAAGTGCAGATGAAACTCTGACCTTCATTGATTTTGGCTGCTTTAAACGTCCTGGCGTCATTCAAATTTAGTGAACTGATTCTGTTTTAAAGATTTTAATGGATTCTGAATATCAGGAAGGATGTTGCTATAGAATTCATGATGCGTCATTTTTTTCAGGATGATTGTTCATATTGTGTGAGGACTTCTTGTTGACTCTGACAGGAAACCTCTAAAATGTCACAGTTTAAGAATGCATTGTCGGTGTCCATCCCAAGATTACAAAATACAGAGAGTCAAATGCTGAAATTATTAAAATAAAACACTGTCAGTATCATCCTCTGGAGCAGGAAAAAGTAGTCTATGTAACACAAAATGACACTGAATGTCCAGGGATGGATTGCTGACTAAGCCGGTGCCAAAGCAGCCACTCACAGCAAGGGACCGTGGGGGGCCTTAGACCAAAAGGCCCGAGGCAGCTCAAAGACTGCAGACAGTGAATTGCAGATACAAAAATTAGATGAACGAAAAGTCCTTGAACATGTAATGAGTAAGTAACCTCTGCAACTCGGTCCATACTCTGCCAACATTTTTAAACTAATTAAAAGCCCCCAATACCAAAAATGTACACATTAATTAGAATAAACCATTTTGTTTACATTACATTTTTTACTGTGTTAAAATAATGTATTCAATATGAAACAAACATATGCTGCTTATGTTTCATGTGTAGGTGTTTTTATCTTATCATCAGAGCGTGGGCAAGGTGGGCTCTAAAAACTATGATCTATCCAATCATGGCATAGGACACTGGAAAAACTCAACACGAACAAAAATGATTTCTCTGTCTTCTGTAGGTCTTTCCTACCACAGCCCATTGAAAGGCCATCCCAACATGACAGTCTGTGGCAAAAAAATAGATTTTGCTTAAATCCCCTCCTTCTGTTAGTATTTAGCTCTGCATTAACCAGTGACAGAACATTTACCAAATAACCCCTTTGGAAATGTGGAGAAATATGGAATGGCATAATCATGCATTAAACAAATTCAACCCTATTGATATATAGTGATTTTATCATCTTTAAACACAATCCAGTGATTTAGCTATCTTACAGTTCTGGTTCTTTAAGTATCCCTGCACTGCACATGTTTTGTGTCCTCCCAGCTTCCAACGTACCTACTCAATTCATAACAACTTCAGCATAGTGGCCCAGTTGTAAGGGCACAAACTGCTCACCAAAAAGTGCTGCAGTGTGCAGTTTGCCCTTCCGTACCCAACTAGCTTAATACAAATACGCCAAACTCTGCAGCCATACAGGATACAGCACTCCACAGCCATCCCATTGTTGAGACAAGAGGAGACATTTCCCTGAGAGAATAGCTCCTCTGTTGTTTGTACGTAGTACTATGATAGCTATTGATAAATTAGCTTGCAATTTGATAGCCTAATAGCCTGCTTACTCCACAAGCACACAAACTACAGCTTGTTTATTGTCTAAGTTGTGGGAGATGTTTTTGTCTTTGTGCTTAAGTTGGTTTGCGGTCTGGATCATGTGAATGCGTCCATTTCTGACCGCTGGGTAAAAGTACACAGTGGTAAGGAGCAGGGGCAGATCAAGGGCTTCTCATTTGTGGTAAGAGTCCTCACAAAGCACCAGCATTGGACACTAACATCAGCAGTTAAGTATTTCTAATGTAAAGTTTTTGAACCACTGAATGTGCTCAAAACAGTTGATCACAGTAAATTGATGATCATTTTGGGAAAAGGTACAGTCAGACTTTTTTTATGTTAGTGCAGTGATCCATCCATGTTTTATTTTACACCCCCAGAATGCTGTTATTAAAGGAATCTTCCCTGAGTTTGGACCTAAATATGGTGCAATCACACTGACCATCAGGGGTTCATTCCTGGACAGTGGGAGCTCAAGAAAGGTTGCAATTCTAAGTGTCACCTGAGAATTGTAGAGGTGAGTTTGAAACCTATAAACCTATTTTGTAATGGGATATGCTATAATAAAATATATTGTGACAAAATATATATACATTGAAATTTCTTGATTTAAATGTGTACATTATTTCCACATAAACTATATATAGAGGGTGTACAGAATAAAAGAAACACCACATGGGCACCTTATAGGCATTGGCCATTTTTAGATCTAGGTGCACTTTGTAGGTCTACAGTTATGGTAATTATATTGTAGCCCATCTGACGTTGCGCTAACAGTGACACTGACATGGTAGTGATATGTTAGCGGTGATGCTGGAGTTTGTGCCCTGTATACATGTACTGTCCACTCTAGTAGACACTTTTTGTTCCACTTTGTTGATGTAAAGTTAGGGACTTTGGTCCACTACCCAAACACTGATCAGCGGTAGTGCTGTGGTGGCCCTTTTCCACTGATGAATGGGGTAGATGGAATACATGGCTACATACCTACAAGTGCACTAATATGGTAATTGTATCTGAAAATAGTAAGTGTTTCTGTTCTTTTTTATTTCAGTCTTCTTGAACATAGTTATTACCAAAAGTAATATACAATAACAAATAACAATGTAACGACAAAATTGAATTAATGTAATTGTATTAATGTCAAAATGGTGTAAAGGTTTGTGTCAAGTCAATGCAGCTCTTTTTCATCTTGTCAAGTGTTTTCTGCCACCAGTGAATCAGCTACCATGCTAACATGCCAGACTTCGTCTCAAGTCTCTCCGTCCCAGCACAGAGTGCAGCTGCATATCGATGGAGTGACCCGTGAAGCTCCTGCCAACTACACCTACAATGAGGACCCACTCATCCACAATGTCCAGCCTTCATTAGGCAGCATTTAGCTCCTTAATCCCTAAGGGCCTGTAGGTTGGGTCCATGCTACAGTTCCTCACTTAATAATGAATCACTGAAAGGCTATTTTGAATGACTTTTGCTTAGTACTGCAAATAGTAGTTTTATAGTTATATTAAATAAATACCAGTATAGTAATATGTGGTAATACTAGCAGCTTCCCGCTGCTTCATCACTCTGCATGTTACGTCTGGGTCAACTGTTTTTTTGTTTATTAATTAATTTATTTTTGAATTTCTTGATATAGGATTGTTCTTCATTTTTTTATTTGCCTTATAGTCGTTGCTTGACTTTTTAAAGTATTTTTATGCAACAGTGGAGGCAGCACAGTGATAGCGTCTGGCGTCTACCTCCACTCAGCCATGCAGCCTCAGATGGTCCCCAGCTGCCCTCTTTTCATCAAGGACAAAGAGGTTTACATGGTGAGTCCCTGTTACACTGTACGCACACTTTGTCATACACTTCAACAACCATGTCACACAGGTGTTATTGCCATTAACCCCACTGTAAGGGAAAAAAAGCTTTTAGAATGAAGGAAAAGAAAGTGCTGGAGTGGCAGATGTGAAGAGGAAATGGAAAAGCAACGCTTAACGCTCCATATAGTCATCACCTCTGGCTCCAAGTGTGGAAGCCAACCTGTTTATTCACCTGATTTCTCAGCACTGTCTCACTGATTCTCTGTAGTTTCTCATAACTACCCGAAATGCTCACTCTGGACCAAAGATTCATGGCTTTTACTTCAACCTCAGCTTAAACTTAAATTTCAACAAAGTAGAAATCCCCTTCTTTTAATATAAGAGATTTGTGGTCTAACTGACTGCAGACCACTCTTTAGGCTTGACAGTTCTGTAAGTGAAAGAGAGCATGACTTTACAGTATTAATTACTCAGTGTCATCTTACTACTACAATAGAACAGCATTCAGTGTCCGTACAGACTGCTGACACACCCTCACAAACTTTCATTTAGATTATTATCTCCTGACTGTCTGTCTCCACTTCCAAATCCTGGCAGAAAGTTTAATTACTTTGACTGCATAAAGGAAGAGTTGGGTATATTTCAGAAATTGAAATGTGTTGATTCAGTGATGTTTGAAACATAAGGAAATGTGTGTTGTTGTTTTTAACTGTGTTAATGGATATTTGATGCTTAAATTCCTAATATAACAAGCAGTCAGTAGACAGTGTGTTGTGGTTCCATGTAATAGAAGCTAAACTATACTTACTAGTGATTTAGGATGGCTCCACAGCTGTTGCACTGTAAATTCTTTACTGTTATCAGTGTGGGGTCCAATACTCCCACCATGAACTATAAAGCACAAGTGTTTTATTGTTTTTAGGTTTTTAATAGGAAGCTGTACGTTTCCTGTTTTGAGTCTGAGGCTCACCAAATCTGCCTCGGTCACATAACTTGAGTGGACCTGTCATCTGTTGCGTTGATTTGCTGAATGATGGGGGAAACAGAAGTGTGGTTTGAGGTTTCTGGTGGGCTGGAGCTTCGTTCTGGTTGGTGACTGAGCTCTGAAGAAGAGGAGCTCTAACCGTCAGTGAGTTTTGTGTCCACACAAGGGAAAGGCCCCAAAGACCAAAATGGAGGAGAGTAGAGTAAAAACTAAGTTGAATTTTGGGCCTCAGCTGTTGGGGGAAAACATCTCAAGAGCTTTCTTCCATATCTTTTACTGTGATCTAAATCCAAGGCTCAGCTAATCTCGGTTCATCAGCCAGTCTCTGCTTTCCCACCAACATATTAAGGGCATTTTTTTACATGCTACAGCTTGTTGCTAAAGGCTGGCACTCTGAATACTGAGAACATAAAACAACATAGATCTTCAAGTTCCTGGAGTCCAGGAAGACACTGTTCTCATTCATGGTTTCTCCAAGGATTTTGGAAGATTTAACTCCATGTGAGAACATTTATTCACTCTGTCTCGTTCCGAGAAGTGTCTGTTTTATTATCTTCTTTCTTTAGCAGCTGTTATTAATCCAGTACAGATGATTTAAGTAACATTGTCAGTAAGTTTGTCAGCAGTGAACCACAGATGGATAGAATTGGCTTTTGAAATATTG